AGCTGCTACTGTGGCCACTACTTCTATGAAGTCTTTGACCAGGTTCTCAGAATGTAATAGCTAGCGCTTCCCTTTGGATTCTGCTACATGCCTTTTGCTTTGGCTTCACTGTTGTCAAATGCCTAATTTTATAACACAGAAGTACAAGGGAGTTAGTTGCCCATGGGACACCCTTGACCAACAATGGAAAGTTGCCGATGGATGATTCCTCCTCTCGTTCCCTGGGTAGATGATTCTGAAACACATTTCATAAAGCTCCTCAGAAGATCCTACAGAATCAACTACCAGTTGCCTATGGCCAATTTTGGAATGAACATTCTTATGTTGTCTTTCCTCTTTGGTTTTACTCTCATGCTTTCCTGCATTCTGGGATCATTTCCCAAATAAATGACTTTTTGATATAATCTTCATGCAAGGATTAGCCTCAGGCTGTTTTCTTTCATGTTCTCTTACATGGCAAGGTGTGATTAAGGTTTAAGACCTTGAGATAGATGATTCTGGGTCTGGCAGAAGCAGCTCATTCTTGCCCAAAGACCCATCAAGCCTTCTAGTGAGGCAGCTGCCTCTGAGATTGGCCTCCACCAGATCCTCTTTCAATGCTTTTGTTATTCTCTACACCAAAAGCAAAGTGGGGTCTCAGCCCAGCCTTAGTGGAGAAATACAACCTACTCTCTAGGTGGAAATAGTGTAGACATTGAGGGAATTGCACAACCTGGAATCCAGGGGAAATGTGAGTTGACCTTGAGGTTGATGGGTAAGAGCTGGAAATGGAAGAATATAAGACTAGATACAGGTTGTGGGCCAGGTGTGGTAGCAAATACCTATAATCCCAGCAACTCAAAGGCTGAAGCAGGAGGACTGCAAAGCTTGAGGCCAGCCTCAACAATTTAGTGAGGCCCTAAGCATCTTAGTATACATCTTGTCTCAAAAAGAGGTGGGGATGTAGCACAGTGATAGAGTGTGCCTGGGCTCAATCCCTAGCAAACACCACCCCCCCCAAAAAAAATGTTATGGGAATTTGGCTGACCACTTAAGAATGGAGGACATCTGAAGTTGGTCCTATTATATTGCTGGTTGGCTACTAAGGCTCACATGTGATTGTGGCAAACAGTAAATGAGATGGAGATGGTTGAACTACTTTGACATAGTACTGAGGAAAAGGTTGGGGAGTTTCAGGAGGTGGGAATATTAAGGATGGATTTTTTATGTGAGACCAAGCAGCCACCTGTGTTCCCTAGGAAGACATTGCCTTCACTGAGGTAATGCAGAATGCACAGGTGAGGGGTGCCCCCGCTCTGAAAAGCTCAGATCTGGCTGGCCCCTGCTGACGGGTCGTTAGTAGGAAATGCTGCTGTGAAACCAAACATGCTATTGCAGTGGAGACAAGGGATTCTAGAATTTTGGCAGAGAAGAAGTAAACATAATAAAATGGATAGTAAGATGAGTGGAAATTAAGATGCCTTGATCTCCAGGACTTTGTGCCAATGGCTAACAGTGTGGAATTCTGAGGGCCAGCTGATTACAGTGTTACTTATGTAACCAAAAATCGCAGGGAGGGAAGAAAAGCTGATGAGCAGATGGCTGAGGTAGTCTGTCAAAGAAAATCATGGTCCCTTATCCAGCTTCCTGATCTAAATCAACTTACAGATCTAGGGCACAATGAAGGGGAGGACTGGTCTACAGAAAAAGCCTCACTTCCACCAGTATATATGATGTACCCACTTAGGATTTCTCAAAGCCTGTTGAGTACTACTGTGGCTTTATATGCAGATGAGGGCTTATGGAAACCAGGTTATAAAGGGAGAGTTCTGGACATACTCTCTCAGAGTAAGTCTCACTTTAGGATTATTTCGCTAAATTCCAAGTATATATTTTGATGTATGGAGTAAGGGCTTTACTAGAGGAAGAGTCATGTGGAAACTTCTTCCTGGCCATGTTAATAAATTATGAGCAATCGCATTAAAAAATGCAGCCATCTGTGTCACCATCAAAAATGTTAAGAGATGCAGCAGTAATGGGCTCCATCATAATTTCATTTTACTTACAATCAGATTCCTGAAAACAAGCAGATGGATAATGGAGGATAAGGTTGCACTGTGTTAATCTCTGTCATAGCTTCCATGCCAGATGCATCTTTACTGGCATTTGACAGGCAGCTATTGAGTTGGCAAAAGCATCCTCATATTCTATCAGAAAGCAGTTCACATTACTTTGAAATGGACAGTGGTTCTCATTTACTCTGTTTCTTCCTGCTCACTATATGGTCTAAAAGGGCCTTGATCATGTTGACATTCTGCAGAACATCCACTGTATTATGATGAGATGCAAGGTGGATTTGGCTATTAGGAAGTGACAAGTACTCTAGATGCCCTGGTTACTTATGTGTGCCAAAGTATGGATGATAAACTATGAACAATATCAGAGGCATGTCACATTGGTGAAGTGTTTAGAGAACTAATGATCTGGTTCATATCAAGATATTCCTTCTACGGTAAAAAAGATTTCTTGCACCTTTCACCATTTAACACTGAGACAGAGATCAAGCATTTTAGTAGGTCTCTGGATTTTGAAGACACATATGTTAAACATATTTTTCCAACCTATTTATCAGGACTCCCATTTCACAAAAGAAAGATCACAGCAGTTTCAGCCTTCAGCACAAACTGAGGTGACACTCAGGCTATGTACATGGTAGTTAAGAATACTGTGCATACTCTGGCAAGCCCTAGTGGAAGGTTACAACACAGGCCTGGGGGATCTGGGAGTAAGGACATGCCTTCTGTAACAGAGATGCTCAAGTCCCTGGCATAGTTCTGGGTCCCAAAGAGACTGTACATCTGATTAAGGGATACCAAGGAATGAAACAAACAGAACTGAGAGCCTATGATCTGGACATTATCAAATTCATAGGGCCATAAATTCAGATGGCACACATTGATACATCATCATTGGAATATTAGAATTGACATCCATTCAGGATATGGTTTGTCTTTATGTCTATGGTGTATCCTCCAATACAATTGTGCTAAGACCTAGAGAATACTTAGTTTGTCACAGTATCACACATAATATTGCCTTGAGGACCAATTTTTTTTTTTTAATAAATGAGGTGGGGCAATGGGCACAGGACCACAAAACTCCTTCGTCTACTGTATATCTCAGTGGGAAGCAACTGGTGTAAATAGAACAATGGAATGACTCAGCTAAGACACCATATACTATGCAGCAACCGGCAAAATTGTGGTACTGTCCTCCAAAACTAAGCATTCATGCATTTGCAATGGCTCATATATGTCCTCCATCCTAAAATACACAGGTCTAGAAAACAATAGGTAGAAGTAGGATTGACCCATCTCACCATCACAGTCAGTGACTTGAAGACTTTATAACCTTTTCCTACAACCTTGGCTTGACTTGAGATTTTGGTTTCTAGGAGCCAGGGTGATTCTTCACCAGGGTACCAAGGATTCTAGTGAATTAGAACCTATGACTGTCACGTTTGCTTGAAGCTCCCCACACCAGTGGACAAGCATGCAAAGAAAGGAGATATATTGGTGGGGATTATTGACTCTGATTATCATAAGAAGCTGAAGAGGAATATGTCTGGAATCCAAAAGCTTCACTGGTGTGTCACTTTGGGCCTTATGATAACAGTGAACAGGCAATGTCAGCAATTATAATCTGATAAGGACAAGGCAACTGAGGACTCAGATCCTTTGGTGATGAAGGTTTGGGTCACACTATCCAATCTAGACTAGCTGAAATGCTGGCCAAAGGTGAGGGAAAATTAGAATGGGTGATTGAAGAGGGAAAATGAGTCCAACTGCAGCCTTAGGACCAGCTTTAGTAATGATTGTAGCTCAATGGGGGCTCAAAGGCCCTCCACAAGAAGCATCAGCATCACCTGGGAACTTGTTAGAAATGCAAATTCTCCCCTCACCCCCAGATGTACTGAATTCAAAAATCTGATGGCGGGGCCTCACAGTCTGTGGTTAAGCAAGCCCTCAGATGATTCTGATGCATTAGAGCTTGAGAATCACAGCTGCAGATCCTACTAACCTACTGTATTAAGTCCTTCCAGATGCCACCCCTTTGAAGCACATGTAAAAGAGGGTGATCAGGGTGAGACATAGAGTGGGGGTGAGTTGTGTCAGCTTCTGTGAGCCACTTCAGGTTTTTCCCACCATGTTTCCTCCAGCCACTAGACCAGACAGTGACCATTGCCATGCAGGTTTAGACAGCCTCATGCAGGTCCTACTTAGCTCTCCCTTGTTTCAGGCCAATGATGTGTAACTCACGGCTTCTCTAACATCAAGGCATGGGAGCCACAAGGAACACACTTGGCACTCACACAGCAGTATGAAATGCATGGCAGATGACACCATACACCCTAAACAGTGGTGGACAGGAGTCAATGGATAAGCTCTTTCCCCTTTCATACCCTGGGACCAGACACCCCGAGGATCCTGCAGGACTGAACACCAGTCACGTGTACCACTGGCCAACTTGATAATGTGTCTTCATATTGGCTGTACCTCTTTCACCTGTTCCTCACTCTGGTGCTCTGGGATCACTTCTCAAATAAATTACATAGAAGCCTTTGGGGTTAGGTTTGTTTTAGGGGAACCTAGTGTAAAACCTAGTGCTTTTGGCATTTTCCCAAGAGTCATGATTTTCCTCAGTTTTCACACTGTCACATACTCAAGAGTGGCCTTCCTAAAAGACCTAATCCAAAGAAGCAAGCTTCTACTATGAGATCACCCTGTTTGAATTCTCCGCACAGCATCTATCACTATTTGATATTTTCTTTTTGAAAAACAAAGTTGTTGGTGCCTTTGTCCTATATTAGAATATGCTGGTCTGTCTTATTCTTTGCTATTTCATCAGTAACTTAAACAGTGCCTGGCACAAAATGAGCACTGAATAAATATTTTCTTGATTAAATGAAGAGTTTGAGAATAAGACAAGACCCCAATTCAATCCAGAATCTGGGCTAATAGACTTTTAGGAGAAAAAAATGCATACCTCAAATTTAAATTTATTTAAAAATTACAAAAATGTCTCCACCCAAGTTGTCCGTGAAAAAAATTTAAAAGCAGCAACAATGATCTTGGTTAATTCCCAGCAGTCTGATGTAATTTATAAAATCGAACAAAATTTGGATGTGTGTCTTATGCCTCTGTAGACACGGGACCCTTTTTTAAGGTCTCTTTCTTTAGGGTCTGGTAGTATGATAATTGGGACACTTTCCAAAGCCTTTTTCCTTTGCACTCTATGTAAAATGATTCTATAGACCCCTGTGATGGCGCTTCGAGCATCTCTTCCTTGGTTGTTTCGAATATGCTCTTCTGTGATACCCAAATGTTCTAAAGTGCTTTTCACCTCGTTTTCTTCTTCTTTGAGAGTGCTGGTTTCTGACAAGTGTTTAGGATCCAGTTGGAAAGGTTCCAAAGGAGTGGGGCATGGAACCCCTTGCATCCACTCATTGTTCATGATGTAGTTGATCCCATACCTCTCTGAGGGTACAGGCTGAAGAACTCCTCGGATGAGCCGGTGGCAGGGCTCTGACACGTGTGGGGGCACGCTGTAGGTGCCCTCGAGGATGCTCTTCTTCAGTTTGGCCACCGTCTCTGCCCGAAATGGCATTGTGCCTGTCACCATGAAATACAAAAGCACCCCCAAGGCCCAGATATCCACATAAACACCGATGTAGTGCTCATCGCGGAAAAGCTCAGGGGCAGCATAGGGAGGAGATCCACAGAAGGTGTTCAGCATTTCACCTTTTCTACTTACTGTGCTGAATCCAAAATCACCCACCTTCACACATGTGTTACTGGTATAGAATACATTCTCTGCTTTCAGATCCCTGTGAATAATTTGGTTTTCATGCTGTGGAAGGAGAAATGAAGAGAAGGAAAGTAAGTTTCAAAGTAAAATACCAAAATAAAAAGATGTCAGTTAATTTGAAACAGTGAGGTGATGGTGGTGTAATAACAGAAAATCAAGGGAGATCAACTTAAGTCATGTTAGTACTCTGTCGTAACCTCTAGACCAATGTAACACCCACACCTCCCAAATAGACCAAAGGTTCCATTCTTTCTTGGAGCAGGGGTTGGAGTCTGTTCCACTCATGTGGACTCGGGAATCTATCCCAGAAATAAAACCCAGATCTTACAAAACTACACACTCTAAAACATGAGTCCTCCTTAGTTTTTTAGTCTTATCTGGGTTTTTCTGATGAAGAGATCTTTTGACTGGGGTCTCCAACTTCCTGACCATGTTCTTTGGGGAGACTCTTTTATTTCTACACAATTCAGTAGAAGGAAGGAGGCTGCATTTGGTGTTTGTAGCAACAGATCCCACTATGGGTTGTGATCCTTGCACTCTGGATCCAGGCCAATAATCTTCTCAAAACCCTTGACCTGTTTAATCCCAAGGGTTCTTGGGAAGTGGTTTAATGTTACTTTTCCCAACATAACTCTAGGGGTAAAAATCCAGATTTTTGAGGCTGACAGTCTGATCAGTTCTAGGTTAAACTGTATCAGCTACTTGATATGAATGTCAGTTTCCTTCTTTGTAAAATGCCATACTGATAACCACCTCATAAGGCTGGGTGTGAGAACAGTATAAAATGCCATATCAACTGTGTTCAGTATGGTCCTTGCACATAAACAAACTCATTTTATTTATCTATGTCTTTGATTCACCTTTACTCTTTAGAGACCAGATTTCTGGGAGAAACAGCAAGGCATAGGGCTTCTGGACTCATGTCTGACCTACCACTGCTGGATTCCCTTCTGCTTTGCCACCAGATTTAGTAGTAGGTGTGCAAGTTGAGTTCCTCCCATGTGCCCAGCAATATGGTGAATAACAGAGCACAAAGAAACAACTCTCGGAGGAACTGGGAGAGTCCAGATTTATCTAAATAATCAAAGAATAAAATAAGAATGACATAATCATGAATGTGCTGGGACACAGAGGCAGTAAGAACTAGGTGCTCATTGAAGGCAAGAAAGTTCAGTGTGAACTGACATGAGATTGATGAAGCTAGTTTCAGAGAGAGAACTAAGCTGGTCGTGAAGTGTGGCTAGGATTTGGAATGTGAGACATGAGAAGTGGGAAAAAGGCATCCTAGACAGGGTTAGGGTTGAAGACCAAGAAGCAGTGAGGAGCCAGCTATGCTGGTAGTAGAACATGAGGTTAAGAAATGGTAATGGCCCGGGAGGGGATGGTGTTCATTCAGCTATGCTGATTGACTCCTGCCAACTTTGGGAGAAGCCAAGAGGCTGTCATGTAAATGGAGACCCCTGGATGTTACAAGAAGCATGATCCCAGCCAGACTTCTGACCCTCACAGAATTCTCACAGCCCTGCAAGATGCTTAAATGATGGTAAACTAAAGTCCCATGTTTCCAATGCTGGTGGATATGGGGACAAGACTCTGTCCTTGCCCCTGCTCACCATGTGCTTCACAGCAGACACAATCTGGGAGAAGATGAGTTTGCTTTCTGGTTCAGAGAGCTTCCCTTCAGTGCTGATTTTCCCAAAGAGTTCCCCGCCCCCTGCATACTCCATCACCAAGTGGAGCTTGGATAGGGTCTCCACGACTTCATAAAGGCGGATAATGTTGGGATGGTGCAGTTTTTCCATGCTGGAGATTTCACGGGAGAGTAGCCTTTGAGTTTTCTGGTCTAACTTGGTCTTGTCCAGGATCTTAATGGCCACCTTCTCTGAAAAAAAAAAAAAAAAAAAGCCAAAGGATGTGACAGGAGAAATAGGTATTTATAACTGGAAGAATCTTAGATGGGCTCCTTTATTTTACTAGACAAAGAGGTTGAGTGGTAGTTCTCAAGTCCACAGAGCTCATTGATGAGAAAGACAAAGCAACAAAGCAATTCTGGAGTTCAATTAGTGCTCCACTTAGATCTGTGTGAGTCTTCCCCACACAGGTTTTAGTGACAACCACTGGCTCCCAAGAGAATTTTCAGTTGTGATTTTTTATTTGGCTTTTATAAATAAAGTAAAATCACCCTTGTTTAGCTCAGAGAGCCCTTCTTGATGGGACCAGCATATCTCTTCAGCCTCATTGTCCACAATTCTGTCCATCATCCCCAACTTCCCTTATAACCCTTATTCCAACAATTACAGAGTTATGCCTGGGGCCTATCCTCTACCTGGATCATTCTCTCTGTCACTTCTTCCCTCTCTGCTCTTTACTCAGTTAGTTTCAGATGGTCTTTTAAAGACTACTTTCAGAATGAACTCATTCCAGGGAGTCTTCTATGACACTCATCCTAGGATGACCATGATATCTGGGTTCTGGGTACTCAGAGCTCTAGTGTACTCTACACTGGCCTATAATGTCGAATCCCCATCTTTCTGCCTCTCCCTGTGTGGACTATATTTTATTTGACCTTGTCAGAGACTGGTATGTATCAGAAGCAGTGCTCAGTGTTTGCTGAGGGTTGGTAAAGGCAAGAGGAAATTGGCTGGTGGGGGATTAATTGGTAAGATGGTTCTGGGTTGCAGTTTGGTATTTTTATTGAAACACTTAAAAATAGTTACACACTTTGACCCAGTCATTTCACTTTTAGCAATTAATCAAAGAAATAATCTGATGCATATACAAAGATGTATGCATAAGAAGATTTCTGTGATACTGAGAATAGAACAGTTTCCAGCAAGAGATGGTGAAATTGACCAAATTATGTTGTGTACATATGCTAACATGTAACAATGAGTCACAGTATTATGTATAATTGTAATGTGCCAATAAAAATACAATTTAAAAAGAGATGTTAAAGGGGCCATGGTTGTGGCTCAGTGGTAGAGCACTTGCCTAGCATGCGTGAGGCACTGGATTCGATCCCTGGTACCATGTTAAAAAAATATATATACAAAACATAAAATAAAATAAAAAGGGCTGGGTATGGGACTCAATGGTTAAGCAACCCTGAGTATAATCCAAACCAACAAACAAAAGAAGAAGCTAGAAAGAGATGTTAGTGTGTAGTTCATTTACATTTATAATAGCACACAATGGTTGATCTTTTTTTATGATGTTTATTTTTATTGATATGAAAAGAGGTTACCTATACAAGAGAGGAAAAATACAAATATATGTTTACATAGAAAAATATGGCAGAATATTCATTAAAATATTTATTTAAAAGAGTTACTTTCTAGTTGGGGAAGCACAAATGGTTTTCTTTAAAATTTGTTTTCGCTTATTGGTATTTTCTAATTTTTCTATAATAAATATAGATTGTGTAATGAAAATGGTTACTGTTAAAAAATGGATGAATTTTCCATGATAAAACATTCATATTTTGGTTCAAACTGGACCAGACTTTTTATTAGATAAGAAAAAAAGTGATCAGGCAAGTAAATAGAACAAGAGCACAGAGTATCTGTGACTATTTCCAAACCGCCTGCTGTAAAAACTTTGGCACAGTGGTTGTCAGCATGAAGATAGATGCTACTAATTCAAAATAGGAGTGTTATCAGTATATTAAAGGGTGTAGCTCAGGAGTACAGCACTGGCCTTGCATGAGCAATTCCCTAGGTTTGATTCCCTACACCCCCCAAAGAAGGTCCATTTGGGCTTCTGGAATTGAAAGAGGCTGGGTTCACTGGTGTCTGATGTGGCCAGCCCACTCTTGGTAGAGGCAATACTGTGCAGTAAGGAGGCAAATGATAAAGGAGCATAGCACCCAGTGCTTAGGTCATTGGGGCTGACAATCAGCCCCAGGAAACAGATCTCCCAGTGTCAATCCTTGGGACATTCTTCCTCCTTGGGCATATCTGTTCTGCTTTTCAGTCCTGAGGGTTAAGATTCCCTTCAGTTGTTTACCTGAACCCCAAGTTTCTCATCTGGTATAGCCTGTTGGATGAACTGTTTTTATAAGAACTAGAATAATGAATTCCATCCTTCGATTTCATATACTCCCTGGAGAATGTGCCCTCCTTGGTTTTCCCCATTGTTGACTCAGACTTTGTTACAGCTTGTTGCTTCCTCACTTCATGGAGCAACTGTGCAGTTGTAGGTGTACACGGTTCAGTTGGCAACGGGTGTCAGGCCTGCCTTTAACACAATCCTAGTGTTTTATTTCCCTTCCCTTCCTCTCCCTCTCCCTTTGATTTTCATGGCTCTTAGCAAAGCCCCCCTCCCTACCCAGTCACCCCATGGATCAGGACAAGAGTGAGGCAGAAGGGTGTTATGAGAGTCGGTGCTTCCTTAAATTCTGCTCCTGAGGCACCTTGATCACTTCGCTTCACATTAAATCATCTTATATCCATGCCTTATAGCATAACTGCCTATTTAAAAGTCCTGGTATTCCAAATTGTTGCTCAGTGGTAAAAACTGCCACTCCACGAAGAACTAGATTTCCAAATCTACTCTTTGAACACACATTCAGTCAGCAGGTACTATGCACCAAGCACATGCACTGGGAAGACACACATTGTTCTTACCATCCAGTGGGAGAGAAAGACTTTAAAAAAAAAATCCTTATGATATGTGTGATAGATGCTAGGAAGGAATATGGATAAAGAATGGAAAGGCCTCCTTAAGTAAGGACACCAAAGCTGTGATCAAGAGGTGAGGGGAGAAGTCTGTGGGGATGGCATGAGTGACAGCCTGGGTGAGATGTAGCATTTGTACTTGAGGACCTGAGAGAAGCCTGCTATGCTGAGAAACATAGGCAGAGTCAGATAACCAGCTTCAGGAAATGCTGCCTTTGTCTTTATGGTAATGGAAACCTAAGGTTTGAAGGGAGAGTGTTGTGATCTGACGGCCATTTTTAAAGAGCGGGCTGGCTACAGTGTGGGAGGTAGGTAGAGCAGCAGCTGGCCTGGGAGCAGGGTAGTTGTTCACAACATGGTTATCACAATCCTGAGGACCCTCTTGATAGTGGCAGGAAACAGGGAAGGAAGTAGACAGATTTCAAAATTCAACTCTCCTTTCTCACATCTTATGAGGTGACTGACACAGGTCCCACCTAGTGGGCAACACATTATTTAAACCACACTTGCAAAGTCAAAAAGTCCAGAGGCCAGGTCGTAAGAGCAGAGCGGGCTCATTTAAGCAGCAGGGAGTTAGTGGAAACTTGAGGGTCCTGAGGTGCACCTGACCTGATATGAAGGGACAGCTGCTACTCAAGTCCAGAGATGATGGTTACTGTTGGGAATGTAGACCTGGTACTGTGAAATCTTCCAATTTTTATTGTTTAGAGAGAGCGTGGACATCTGAAATTTTCTGCAAAAGCTTCCAATGAATAAGTACCCACAACAAATTCAAATTTTCAAACCTAGATTAGACCAAGCAAAATATGTACATAGAACAAGGGATTAGGGGTATGAACAGATATTAGAACCTAGAAAGTGTGCTGTGTAGCTAGGCATGGTGGTGCACACCTGTAATCCCAGTGACTCAGGAGGCTGAGGCAGAAGCATCACAAGTTATTTAAAAAAATTTTTTTGTAAGACATTTCTAAATACTACCCTAATATATGTATATTTATCAATAAATTGTAAGCATGTACTACTAACATACACTTTAAATATGCATAATCACTGAAATAAAATGATACAATTACAAATAAATAAAAATGGAAGTACTAGTTTCCCCCCTCATACCAGTGAACCATCTTGGGCACCTCTGGGGTATATGGGAGATGAAGGAAAATATAAGCCAAGCTGATGCTGGAGATTGGCCAGGGCCAAGGTCTTGGGGGGGGTCACATTAAGACCTCACTTGAGGACAGTGAGGGATCACTAGAAGGTTGTAAGCCGGGTGTTTTAGTCAACTTTTTTGCTGCTGTGATTAAAAGATCTGACAAGAACAATTTTAGAGGAGGGAAAGTTTGAGGGCTCACAGTTTCAGAGGTCTCAGTCCATGGACAGCCAGCTCCATTTCTCAGGGACTGAGGTGAGGAAGAACATCATAATGGAAGAGTGTGGCAGAGGGAAGCAGCTCACAAGATGATCAGGAAGCAGAGAGAGACTCCATTGGTTAGATACAAAATATATACCCCCATGCCACGCCCCCCAATGCCACCTCCTCCAGCCACACCCTACCAACCTACAGTTACCATTCAGTTAATCCCTATCAGGACATTAATTCACTTATTGGGTTAAGACTCTCACAACCCAATCATTTCTCCTCTGAACCTTCTTTCATTGTCTCTCAGCCTTTGGGGAACACCTTGCATCCAAACCATAATACAGGGCTAAATGGGCAGGCTGGCCTTTTCTAAAAGATCCCTTCTGGCTGCAGTGGGGGGAATGATGTAAGTGTGGATGAAGAAGATGAGTTACAGTGGTTTCATCCAACTAGGCAAAGATGAGATATTTAGAAGATAATATCAATAGGACCCGGTGTTTGGCTGTTGGGGGCCAAAGAAGAGTTCAAGATTTCTAGGTTGAGCAACTCCAAGGATGGTGGCATTCAGTGGAGGAGTGAGCGGATCTTAATTTCTGTCATCACAGTTCTGCACACTCCTTCAATTCCCCTGCCTCCTCTCATCTTGTTGGGGTCACTCAGCTAAACAACAAACCTGGTTAAATCCAGCTTCCCACCTGCTCACTGTCGGCACCCATGCAGCTGAATATGACCACGTGTCTCACTTTGCGTGAATGATCACTCACCTCTGGGCAGATGTACTGTTATCTCCCTAGTCCAATAACCTTCCTACACTTCCAAATGCCTCCTTGATGGCTTTGTCTCCCG